CGTCCCACTGAGGCCGACAAAATGACGGTGAGCACGCACCAATGTGGCCGGAAAATGGTGCTGGAGGCCTGTGTAACCAGCCCGACACGTCCGACTGAGGCCGACGAAATGACGGTGAGCACGCATCAATGTGGCCGGAGGCAGTGCTGGGGCCCTGTGTAACCAGCCCGACACACCCCACTAATGCCGGCAGAATAACAGCAGGCCAGCCGCCTCGACAGGCACCAGCTACAGTGGTGAAATCTCTGTGCTGGGGCAGCAGCGGCCGCATGCCGCTGGCCCGACATCTTCGGGCAAAATGACATGCCGCTGGCTCGAGGTCTTCGGGCTTAGGTACCTGCACTATGTGTTATATGGCAGTGTAATTTGCATTAGATCCATAGACGAGAATATAATAGAGCTTACCCGGTTGCTCGAACGCCCTTCCAAAGTTGAAATCCACCTCGAGCATCCCTGCATCGTTGTCGTCGTACGTCGGGCGGCGTATGTCTCTGTATTTACTGAGGAACCCGGACAAGGTGGATAAGGGAACAAGCGCCCTCATCGATGTCGCCCAGTTTAATCCGCGCGACTGCTAGACGACGAGGGGCATTTATATCCAGCGGGTAGTACCCTGGTTGCGGGTCACCCTCTCAAGCGGCACCTTCCGCTGGTGCCAAACTCTGCTCGAGGCTCCCTAGTGTGTCGTCTCCCTCACCCTGCATGCTGACTTGGAGGTGAGAAAGAGGAGGGGTATGCATGGGTATGTCAAATTCTCGGTCGTCCTCACAGCCATCCCAGAACTTCTGTGGAGCACGGCCTTGTAGCCAGCGACATCCACGACGTATCGTTTCGATGGCACGCGCGTATTCTGACAGGGTGTTGTACAAGTCTGCGAGGACGAGGACGTCGAGGAAACCGAATAGCTCGGCTTCACTCTGTGGCTGGTTCTGTGACGAACTATCCCCAAGGTCATGAAGCATCTATGGGGCGATATGCTCGACTGTAATATGGACTGGAGGTTGCGCCGAGGGCGGACCAAGGGGATAAGCTGTTTGATAGTGGTCGAATGCACGCTGGTACATCGATGCGCAGAGAGCAAGCTCGCCTGCGTCGATAAGGATCGACCGCAGTTCAGCGAGAACAACCATGTCGTGTGGGTAGTGCTTCAAAATTGCGGTGAACGAGTGTCGAGCCTAGGGTTTTGTGCGCATATACTTAGCTCTCCCTGGTCTAATGAAGAGGGACACAATGCGTACAGCACGTATCTCCAGCAGTTCCTTGGCGCGCGTCGCACGGCCCCAAAGTGCGTTGACATTTGAGGGATCGAGCCCTGTGAAAACACGCTGTGCAGGAATGTGCAACAGTCACTGAAAATATGCAAATTTGGATGCAATTGGGCCACGCAGAAATCTGCACGGGATGGCAACGTGTGGCTGGGTTTGCAGATGACTGCAATGCTGCTCGATGCCATCCTGTGCACATATCTGCCATTGCTGTGTGTGAGCATATTGCCAGATATTGTCTGATGTGTTACTGTACTCACCACGTAGCCACCGTCCCAATACAGCCGCATCTCTGTGCATACCATTTGCTGCATTCTGTATGCGCTTGGATGTTCCCATATGCATCAGTTCGGAACCAGATCACTCCGTTATAAATAGCAAATGCAACAGGATATCATTTTATGCAGAGCAGACATTAATAGTACAGGTACTGCCAGACGAGCAAAAATAGAACAAGTTTCATAATGAATCGCACCAAGTCCAAAATACTGCCATGTCACGATGGCGGAACATACAGAAAGATAACGTCCTCAGTGAAGAGGTCCTTTTGCAATTTCGGAGAGCTCGGTATGCGCAGTCCAGCTGCCCGAGTCGATCTGGGCGGAATAATTAGCATCAACCAGAGATAGTACGACGTATTACACGTACAAGGCGCCTGGATTCGCTTGTATACTTCTGTTATAAAGGTTAACGTACACCAAACTGCAGAGAAAAATAAACAAACCGATTTTGAAGACCTAGATAAGGCATCATAGTACTCCACAAAATCTTGCTCAGTGGCGGGCGCTCCGGTGTGCACCTGGTTGAGCCAGCGTAGAGCACATAGAACTCTAGAACTAATGTAAGCTCGGAAACGTAGAGATACTACACACGTACTTTCCATTCCGTGCTTTCCCTGGAGTCCACCCACCATCGCTAGCGTCGTTCTCCTTGTTCACTCCGGACGGGCCTGCTATTTCTGCCGGCACCTCAGCAGCGGCCTTTTCTTTGCCCTTGGAACTCCTAGATGTCGCTCCATCCTTGCGCGCACTGGCCTTTGTGCTGGCTTTAACACTATAAACTAGTTAGTTGATATGATACACAGAATGATAAGACACCTTACCCTGAGTTCTCCTTTGCCGCTTTCGCGCGAGACTTGAAAGCGTCGTCCGAGGGCATCAATGGCGTTGTCGCTGCTGGTTTCTTTGAAGCGGCTGCTTGTGCCGAGTTTACAGGCAGAGCGGTAGATGTATTGATGACAGGATGACGCGAGATGATACGAGGGGTAGGGATCATTCGAGGCAGTCTTGATGGAGCAACTTGTCGGGCAGTTGAAGCTGCAGACAACGTCTCTGTGTGTGGTGCAGCTATAACCGAGGGTTTGCGTTGAACTTGGGGCTGGGGAGCGTGCGCAGGGCCGGGTGCAACACCTGCAGCAAGCGTATGAGTAGCGTAAGGGGAAAGGTGGTAAACACGTACGAGATACAATGTCCCTGTCTGCGCCCGCAGGAACATCCTCTGCATACTCGAGCTGGCTCGAATGAATCGACATGCCAGAGGGGGTGGGAGAGACTTCGCGAGGGGGTGCCTCGTCAAAGGCCTCGTCGTCATCAATGGCCATGTCACGGCCATTGTCATCTGCGGACCCAATGTCGGGGATGCTGGCCTCGTCCTCCTCGACACCCTCATTGTTAACCATGTCAGGGGACTGCAGACGTACACTGTGAGTTTCGTCAGCCATTGCGCTGTTGGCGCGAACATTGCCTTCGACATTTGCAACATCCTCGTCTAGTGCTGACTCTGTCGCGTCTATAACCTCCTCATGAGCACCTAGCTCGGGGTAGCGGGCCGTCACTGGGTTGGCCACCACCTCATCTGGCGCAGGAGCTACTTACAAGTTAGTATAGTACTTAATAGATAACGCATACGTACTTTTACCCTTGGTCCTGGCACGTTTTGTTGCACGCGTGGAGCCTTTGCTTGCTGACGCTGAACGCTTCTTGCGTGTGGATTTGGAAGTGTCCTGGTCGTCAGGGTTATCGGCCTTGATTTTGAGATTGCCGTCATCGTCGAGCTTTGCGCGTTTGTAGTTGGGGAATGTTTTGCTGCAGAGAAACTCGAGTTTCCAGTCGTTGAGGCACAGCGTGAGCCACGGATACTTCGCGTACATAACATCGCGGATCTCCTCCCTAACGTCAAACGTCTGAACGCCCCAAGAAGGCAGTAAGTCGCCGCTCTTAGCATACCCAGTCCACATAGAGCGAAGCGTCAGTTTGATAGCGTCGACAGTCTCCCGGGTGATCTTCTCGCCAAATTCGTCCTCAAGATAAGGTGTAGCACCGTGTTCCTCATCGTCGCCGACCTGATCGCCGTCCCAGCCTGTATAATCAGTCCTTAGCCAGAACTCGACCTTAGGAAACGCGGCCTTGAGTTTAGCCAGGTCCTTCTCCTGGTTCCCGGTGAGAGGCACCTTGCCAAACGCAACGGGTGAAGCACCACGCGCGAGCTTGACAGATTTGACGAGTTTGGTGTATAGGGCACTAGACAACGATGTTAGTGTTGAGAGCGTGCGCATATATGCAAATATACTTACTCGGTGACCTCCTTTTGAGTCTTTAACGTGTCCCGCTCTGTTTTGACACCCTCAAGCTGCTGGATCAGTGACGAGACCTGGTCTTGAAGCGCGATGAGTTGTTGCTGCGGCTGCGGGAGGGAATATATGTCCTGTAGACGTTAGAAACCCATTCATCAATAGCCTCAGCCTGACTTACTTGACCAAAGTTCCAGTTGGGTTGGTTGAGCTGTCCATTGTTCTGAGAGTATCCCGAGTGCGAACGAGCGCGAGAAAGATCATCAGACCCAGAGAAGCCAGAGAAGCCAGAGTAGCCAGCCGATAGTGATCCCTGAGACTCAAAGAAGGTACCAGAGCCAGAGCCAGTGAAGCATCCGCCTGAGAGATTGGGAAGGGGAGAGGGCACCGAGGACATGGTGATCGATAAAGAGAAAGAGAGACGGGGACGGTATTCCAAAGTTCTTGCGTTGGTGTGCGCGGCTCAAGTGATGTACGTCACTTCACATCTATTATTATCGAGTCACGCAGTTAATTATAGTTCAACTCCCTGAATTCGCTTGCATGCACTCGCGCAATTGTATTCGTACACTCAAACATTGTAGTATACACAGCAGACAATGATTTTCTATTGTATGAGCTCGCTTTATCGTACAGTGAACCTTGTTGTTACTAGCTTTCCTAGGCGAAGATGAGTTGGAGAAAAGAAGTTCGGGAAAAGACACTCACAAGCGGTGTTGGCGCGGATGCTCGAGCGAAGAACACGAGTAGATACCGGCGCGTGCGAGGAACGACGCCGCTTCCTCGCAGAAGCACTTGTACCTGCATCATTTTCTCCAGCATTGTTTTCAGCCTCATGCGCGCGCTTACGGTTGACGTCCATAAGGGAAGTGTTCTGCAGGCCGTTGTATGCGAGAGTACGGTAGACATTCGCGTTGATGTGAACATCGCCAGCTGGAGTGGGTGGAGCGTCCATGAGAGGGGGCATATTGTTGTTGTTGACCATGTCAATCTTCATGCCGGTGACCAGAGCGCCCGAATCGTCTATGAGCGGGGGCATATCGTCATAGTCACCTGACTCGATCTTCATGCCGTCAATTTGAGTATTGATATCCTCGACCTTCACGCGGGCGGCATGGGCACGTTCATTGCGCTCGAGGAGAGGAGGTAAGAGGTCATCGATGGGTCCAGGGCCCGATTCGTCGTGTTCGCGCACTATCCTAGCATAGAGCTCCTCCCAGGACTCGAGTCTAGGAGGCGTTAGCCTGATAGGGTCGCGGGGATCCAGGATGTCAAGCGGACAAAGAATGGGAGGGCGATACCCGTCATCATCTGCTTGGCTGCGTCGAGGTCTAAAGCGAAAGCGTGGCTTGATGGAGATGAGGTCATCGGGGTTTGCCTCATAAGCAACATGGGCGCTGACAGGCTCAGCCATTACGTGGATTGGGTCTTGGATTGTGAGGCTAAATTACATCAGTTATAGTGCATATATGAAGGAAATCACCACGCACATAGACTTTGAGAGCTCCCCAACATGCTCCGAACTCGTGAGCAGCTCCTCCGCCAGGTAATCGCGCACATGAGCCTTTTGTCGAACAACAATGCTCTATAGATCTTGTATCAGAAGAATGGACTGGAGTTGAATATGCACGTACCATCTCGCGGGGTTCGTCAGAAGGGGGGACTATGAAGCGATAGGCAAAGTCGCCCATGGCGGCACCAAGACGAATGTTGGAGTCATCCGCAAAGTTGAGCATTATGTTGTCGCCCTGGAGCTTGATTCTGTGAAGAGGCATGGTGATACAAGCAGGTTTAGGCAGAAATAACGAGGGCGTGGCAGGCAATGATGAGAATTTTTTTAGTGGTAGGGCTAGATGCGTCTCAAACGTCCCTAGCTAGCAGCTGTGGCATGTTGTTGGACAGTGTTTATATTGTGGCGCTATGTGCCACAGTCATCGACATTTTGGTGTGCGGCTGTGCGCACACAAGTGATTGAGCTTGATTGAGCCTACCTCTTATAGATATACCCCTGACTACATACTCACTGAGACCAACTTCTGAATCGTAAATTGGACTGCTCAAGTAAGCACAAATAATACATGAACATAGAATCTACAGTTCCACTTCGTCGCCCCCAGGATCATCTTCCTGCTCAGGATCAGACTCATCTGGGCCGGCATATGTAGCTACATCAAATCCTGGCTTTTCAAGCATGTGAAAACGTGCTTCGGCCACTCCTGTGCTCGGAATTGTCGGGGAATGTGGTAACATACCGACCAGTGCTTTGATTTGAGTAACTTCAATTACTGTGGTTGATGCTTCACCTAGATGGCGACATGACCACAATGTCTGCGACGACCATTCAAGGAGATTGGGATCGGGATTCGAGTACGGCCAGATAAGAGCAACAGTACGGACTTCATTGGGAGCGTCGACGTGTGTAGATGGGAGGCGAACTTGTGTATAGTAAATCACCTCGCCAAGTCGTGCGTGGCCGTTGACCTCAAACTATGAATCGTAAGCATAGAACATAGGCAAATTGACAGGATGACTCACCCGTACATTCCGTGCAATGCGGATATTTGCATGTCGAGAGGCATTCTCTCGCCATGCACAACGAGTTATATGCCCGTTGGGTAGCTGCAGACGTGCCCAGCGACGAATTTTGTGTGGTTGGCAGCCCATGTATCGTGCAAGAGCGCCAAACTCTCTGCCTTTGGGATACATCTTGTAGCGGTCGCGGGCACGCAGTAATAGATATCCATTCCCCAGATCATTAGCAAGGGAGGAAACCTTGGTTGGAGGATCGAACTCCTTCATCATCCCCCGGAGCGCGTTCTTCATGCAGCGACGGACACCTTGACGTGAGAAGTTCTCGTACATCTGCGAGGGCTGTCGGATTTCCTGGCCCAAGTTACCTATTGTGCGCTCCATCGTCCATTGCGCGTAGCAGATGGGTGGTCCTTTTTTGATTGTCTCCTCAACTAGATGAGTGACTTGGTGAACACTTTGCCTTACAAAATGGAGGCGATCTTCACGGTGCCCATAGTAGAGGCGCTCGTAGTCTTCGTACCAAGATAAGAAGCAGTTTTGAGCTTCGCGAAGCTCGTCAAGTGTGATCAAGTGCTGACTGATGAGCCGAAATCCGCGAACAAGCTTGCAGAAATGTTTCCAATATTCTAAAGGTAAGAGCTCATAGAGTAAGCCAGGACACTCGCCATAGAACCAGATAATGAATTCCCAGGTCTTGTATCCAGAAGTGTGATTCTCCTTGACGTTCCGTGGCTTGGCATCAAGTAACCCAGGAATATGGAGCCCAAGAGCTTCGACGTCGAGGCCGTGAGCTGTCCAAACGTCGTCATCTAGAAAGATAGAAAACGGCCACAACCGAGGATCGTCGAAGAGGCCGTTATCAATCTCGCCTCGCCACAGATCGATATGCAGAGTTGCAAGCAGTGCTGCCAGATGCATTTGGTCGGGAGCAAGACATCGAGGGACCTCTAATGTATGCTCAGGCTGGAGACCGATGAGAATGCTAGGCTTGGTGATACCAGTATATCGACGGGCCTTGTCGTAAGCAGTTTCGGACCTGGCGGAGACAACCATCTTGAGATTCCGATAGTATTCCGTTGATGCTGCGGGTGGGAGATCCTGCACCAGGACAGTAGCGTGATCACTGCCTTTGACCTTGTATGTTGGCGAGTCCGGTTTTGCCAACGCAGGGTAGTAGGTTTTGCCGTGAGTTTTACGACGGCCACGGACTCCGCAATATAGGCGGCAGCCATTCTGACCACAGTGCCCGCACATACCGTTGAAGTAGACTAGTCCCGGGCCATCGGCTGTTGCAAGATAGTGGTGGACAAACGACGTGTATTGCCGCTGCTCCCATGCGTTGTATATCTCAAGGCCTTCGCGTTGGAGGGCAGAGACGTGGTGGTAGCCTGGAAAAAGGAACGAATCGACGTTTTTGGGCTTGTTGGGACCAGGAATGAAACCGCCGGGATAGACATACTGTTTCTTGTAGCGCTTGTCGGGTGAGTACTCAAGAATGACCCAAATGTAGATCCAACAATCGGATGCCTGAGACTCGAAGAGCTGTGCACCATCAAGCGAAGACATAATAAGGATGTCCTCGTCGCGTATCTTCTTCTCGAGGAGGCTTTGTATATAATCTGAGCCTGAGATGTAGTCATCGTAGACCTCGACGATCCGGTTATTAGCAATAGCGGCCTCAAGAACTTCGTGCGTCTTGAGGACACGATATGCAAGGTCTTCGGCACTCTGAGGATCGCGGTAGATAGCCTGGAGAAGTGGACCCAATAGAATGGTATGGAACTTGCGAGAGACAAGTTTCCCCTTGTGTTTGAGTATGTGCTGGTCGTAGCGATGCTTGCCACACTGAGAGCAACGTAGATCATCCTCGAGTGGACCTGTAAATGCCTGACACGAGTCCCAGCACATGTCATGTTGGACAGACTCGACGCCAGTTATTTTTGCAATCAGTTTCTCGACCGCGTCGAAGTGAAGTAAGTCCTGCTCAGCCACATTGAACGTTTTGATCTCAGATGCACGAACCTCTTCAAACGCTCTGATAGATGCGTTCTCGAGCGCAAAGTAGTTGGTGATGCTGTGCTTTTGTAGAGGCGAGAGAGGTTCTGGAGGCGTATGCGGAGGGTGACGAAGTCGGTATAACACTTCTTCAGAGAGTTTTGCCACAGGATCGTCCAGCCGCGCCTCCCGAATGCATTTGATGAATTCGAGAGCAAGTTTGCATTTGCGATTGCTGGCGAGGCGGGTGAGTTCATCGACATCTATGGGATCAAAAACTCTCGCTGGCTGTAGCTCTACAACAAGGCCGTACCGGTCCTGCTTGTGTATGTATATATTAGCTGCCAATCGATCACCGAGATAGTTACTGTACCTGATTGGCTTCAACTTCCTGATCACCTTCCCTATCAGATTCACCATAGCCGTTATAGCCCACTTGATCAGATCCCTGTCCATCAGCCTGAGAGTCCTCACTTCGAGCACGTGTGTTACGAGTCAAGTCAGAGCGATAGCCTTTGTCAGACCGATCAGAAACCTGAGATCTTGAACGTTTCCCCAAAGAGCTAGAGCTGTCCGAGTCTTGATTGTGCTGTTCCCGAGCTCCAGAACGTCTAGCCCCAAAGGTATGTATCACGTCCGAGTAGACCTTGTTTATAAGCTCGCGATCGCCTTTACTAGCTGTCCGAATATATTCGCGTTCTTCTGATGTCCGAGCCTTTTGGAGATGTCGCCTGAAAGTTCGTTCAGATACAGAGTGTCGTTTCCCCCCAAAGTAATAGGGGCATATGCATTCGATCCGCTTCCCGCGAGCCATAGAGGATCAGCTAGTCCGTTGTCGAGAAGAGAAACTGTACTGAGGTAAAGCTGTAGGCAGTGTTAGACTAGTATCAGATGAAAGCCTAGTATTATCGATTAGCTCATTGGTTGGTATTCTGTAATTTCATAATGGTCGCTTCGCTCTGTCCATCTTCGCCTGTGTGCAATGAGAGGCAATCCGATCACGCATCCCACCTTTGCACATCAGCACATATTTCGCAACCAAGTTACACTGATATATTTCCTAATCTAGCACGGGACCGTAGAGGGTAGGGTATCGGTGGTGATGGGGAGTGTGGACGACATGGTAGAGCAATACAACTTGATTCAAAGGCAGGATGCGGGGCTCATAACCTTTTGCAAGGCTATGACTACAGCAACAGCACGATCTAGACACAAGGTCAGCTAACTCAGTCGTCGTGCGAGGAACGAACGCTAGTAATGTATTCACCTAGACACAAGGTCAGCTAACTACAAAGGAGTGTAAGTATGTGTATAGGTACGTCGGAATAGAATAAGTCTCACCTCAGTCGTCGTGCGAGGAACGAACGCTGAGGTGACGGTAACTAATTGTCTGGTATAAGTGCAAATCGGAGGAGATGCTCGGTATCGTACGGATCAGGTTTGCCGGACAGAAAAGCAAGGAAAAATCATATGCTATCACGAAAAGGAATGTCATGGAATACGAGGGAACGAAACGAAACGAACGTGCATGATATGTAACTGACATCTGTCAAATGAGCGACACGAAAACGGGTATATGCAAAGAAACAGGGCGTGGTAGTGCACCCGGCGACACGACGCCAGCGCTACCGTGACATAGACGCCGACATCGGATCCTGCTCGCGTCAGCCGATACACGCGTCGGCGTGCGCGACGCCTTGCGAAATCTAACAATGGGTCATGGACAGCAGGCGCTGTACTGCTATGCAAAGCTGTACAGCCTCGATCCCCTGTGAAAACACGCTGTGCAGGAATGTGCAACCTTATGCAGTTAAGCTTGACGCTAAGGGATCTAACTGGGCCATTTTCTCGATACGCTTCCAGACCGCTGTCGAGGCCAAGGAGCTATGGTCGTTTTTTGACGGCTCTGCTCCGAGGCCAGGTGTCACGCCTACACAGCTGGCTGCGACTGTCTCTGCCGCACCGGCGTCATCTGTGCCAACAGCAGGAACTCCGTCCCTGCCGACAGCGTCCCCTGCACCAGACACTGCGGAAGTTGAGAAGTGGGTGAAGAAGGAAAGTTTGGCGAAGAACCTGCTCCTCGGACGTGTCCCCGATTCAACCGTACTCAAGGTCCGTGCACTCCCCACCGTTGCGGCCATGTGGGCCAAGATTGTGGAGGAGTACACGAGGAAGGGGGCGTACGCTCAGACGGAGCTACGCTCGGAGTTCTTGAACTCGAAGTGCTCGAGTGGTGGTGACGTCCGCGTGTGGCTCGATGGCCTTCGGACCAAGAAAGAAGAACTCGCATCCGTCGGCGTCGAAATCAGCGACGCCGACTATCGGTCCACTATCATATCCTCACTCCCTAAGGCTCTCGCCAGTTTTGCCTCTGGCCAGCTCACAGCTGCTCGCCTCTATGCTCCCAGCAAGACGATTGACCCCGACACTCTGATCCTCGTTATTGGAGAGGAGTACGAACGCATCAAGCCGTCGGCGAGCGGGCGCGCTGGTAAAGCAAAGGACGACGACGAAGCCATGGCTGTCGGTCCTGCCAACGCGCGAGGCAGCAAGAAGGGTGGGGGTCGGGGACCAGAGTGCTGGAAGTGCAAGGAGCGCGGCCACATTCGGCGCGATTGCCCGAAGGCAAAGAAGGCTGCATCGTCTTCTGACGCTGGCAAGAAGGGTGCCGACACGGCGAACGCGGCCGTTGAGTCCGACTCAGATAGCGACGCAGCTTTTGCGTTCGCTGAGGCGTCCGACCTGGGAACTATATCGTCAGCGTACGACAGTGATGACGTCGTCTCCGTGCCCTCAATGGACGGTTTTTCGGACTGGGACACCGTCTCGTCATTCACTGATGATGACGGGTACGACACGGACGGCTCCATGCCCGAGCTTCAGCTCGTCTCCGACTCGGATTGGGATTCCGACTCGGACGTCGAGAGCGTTGTCGCCGACTGGAGCGACGTTGCCGATGACCTCGAAGAGGCTGCCGATGACATGGCAGCCGCGTCTATCGAGTCGGCAGAAGAGAGCGCGGCGGCTGCGTCACGATTGCCAACCACGGAGCTGTACGATTCGGGAGCTACACGTCATATCTCTCCTCACCAGGCCGATTTTGCGAATTTCACGCAGATCCCACCGCACCCGTTCGCCGCTGCAAACAAGCAGGTGTTCTATGCGACGGGCCGCGGCGACCTCGTTGTCGAGGTGCCAAATGGTGTCGACGTCTCGAAGCTGCGCCTCACAGAAGTCCTGTACTCCCCAGAAGTCGGCTACACCCTCGTCTCTATCGGGTGTCTTGACAAGCAGGGCTTCGAAGCAACATTCGGCGGCGGCAGCTGCACGCTACGCGGACCCGACGGTGCTCTTATCGGTCAGATCCCGCGCACGTCGAAGGGCCTGTATCGCGTCATTCACGACAGCGATGACGCAGCGGGCGCAGCCACTGACGAGGTGACCATGATGGAGTTGCACCGCCGCATGGGGCACATCTCCCCGAGCGCCGCTCGCAAGCTCGCGCTGGATGGGCTCGTCACTGGGCTCCGTCTTAGCGATGCGCCCGACGAACCCATGTTCTGCGAATTGTGCGTGTACGCGAAAGCGACGCGCAAGCCTATTGCCAAGGCACGCAGTGGGGATCGTGCCGAGCATTTCGGCGATGAGGTGCATTCCGACGTGTGGGGTCCAGCGCCAGTCAACTCTCTGGGAGGTCGTCGGTACTACATCAGTTTCACCGACGACAGCACAAGGCTCACGTACCTGCACCTGCTCAAGCACAAGAGCGATGCATTCGATGCTTACAAAAGTTTCGAGAGCCTTTGTGAGACCCAGCACGGTGCGCGCATCAAGACCCTGCACTCGGATCGGGGTGGAGAGTACCTGGGGAAGGCTTTCACTTTGCATCTAGCAGAGGCCGGTACCAAGCAGAAGCTCACTGTTCATGATACACCTCAGCACAACGGTGTTGCGGAGCGTCTCAACCGCACTATTCTTGAGCGGGTTCGGGCTATGCTACACTCCAGCGGTCTCCCACGTTTTCTCTGGGGCGAAGCAGCGCACCATGCCGTGTGGTTAAAGAACCGGAGCCCGACGACGGCACTGAACGGCAGGACCCCTTTCGAGGCGGCATATGGCAAACGCCCTGACTTGCGTGGTCTGCGCGAGTGGGGCTGCCGGGTGTACGTGCGCCGTGAAGGTGGTACCAAACTCGGCGGCCGTGTCGATTGCGGCCACTGGGTGGGCAGGGACTCGCGAAGCGCCAATGGCCACCATGTTTACTGGCCGAAGTCGCGCACCGTTTCCGTTGAGCGGAATGTGCTTTTCGAGCCCAAGAGCGAGAGTCGCGAGGGGGAGGAAGATGAAGGCAGCGCGCCTATCCCTCTCGAAACTGGGCAAACTCCCGCTTCTATTTCCCAGGCTCACGCTCCTGCCGTTTTGCTCTCCCCGTCTCCTCCCGTCGCAACCCCTCCTGTCGAGAATGCCCCTGCCAATGCGAACGCGCCCGAAGGACGCCCACGGCGCATGCGGCAAGCTAGCCAGCGGGTGCGTGACCTCCTCAGCGGCGCCGGCTCCGGCTCCCACCGCCCGAGCGACCCCAATATACCTCGTGGTGTCCAGCTGCCCACGCCGGTGGCCGAGACGTCAGATGTTGAGGGGGAGCGTGAGGTGAGCGCAATGCTCGCGTTCGAGGAGCTCCTACTTGAGGAAGCCACCGAGTTCGCCCTGACCATGGGCGACGCCGTCAGCAGTGCCGAAGCGCTCGAACCAACGTCTTTGGCCGATGCACAGCGACGCTCTGACTGGCCCGAGTGGGAGCGAGGCATCCTGGAAGAGCTCGCAACGCTTTCGGCAGCGAAAACGTGGGATCTTGTAGACCCTCCGCCCGGTGCCAACATCGTGGGCTCAAAGTGGGTATTCCGAGCGAAGAAGGACGCCGCCGGCAACGTTGTTCGTCACAAGGCTCGCCTTGTCGCCCAGGGCTTCTCCCAGGTGCCCGGCGTCGATTATTTCGACACGTTTGCACCAGTGGCGACGCTCTCGTCCATCCGCACTGTCCTCGCACTCGCCGCCCGCCACGATATGGAGCTGCACCAAGTTGACATTAAGGGCGCCTACCTCAATGGCGAGCTGTCGGATGCCGAGGTCATCTACATGCGCCAGCCGCCTGGCTACGCGTCTGCTGAGTACCCCCGTCGCGTTGCACGTCTCAACAAGACGCTGTACGGTCTCAAGCAGAG